GTCTCCTTCAGTGATCCACTTGATCTTTGATTTTTGGCGCGAGAATATTTCTTCTTCTTTGTTGAGGACATCAATTTGATGTTTCAGAGAGTCCCAGAGTTCCCAGTCAATAAGGCCTCCTTGCATTCTGAGAGATTCCATTTGTCTGTTGAGTAGCTCAAGTTTTTTCACATTTTCTGTTCTGAATCCTTTGCTCCACTTGAGCAGGTTAACCCTAGTTTGTTTGATTTTGGATAGGAAGGAAAACATAGGAGTGCCTGTCTGAGGAGTGTGCCAAGCTTGAGCAACTGTATCTTTAAAGCCTTCTTTCCGGAGCCAATTTTTGTTGAATAAGAATCTTTTCTTGAATGAAGATGTTTCAGGATCAAGGTTAATGTTAAGTAAACAGTGATCTGATGAGCTTCTGAATATAGATGAGACTGCAGCATTAGGATAGAAGGAATGACAATCAAGGGACCCAAATATTCTGTCTAGCTTTTCCTGAACATATCCTTCACCTGTTCTGTTATTCCCCCATGTAAATGGGATGCCAGTCATTGGAAATTCTTGCATACACATAGAGCTAATAAAATCTTTGAATGGCCTGAAGGAGAGCTCTGATCTGGCCACCCCCCCTTGTTTGTCCTCCGCACATGTGATGTCGTTCCAATCTCCTCCAATGAGCCAGTGATCACCCCAGTGCCTTTTTTCAGAAATGAGAATTTGCCATTTCTCAGAATGCAATCTGTAGTCTGTGCTTAGATAAACAAAAGAGCACCAGCAACTCCTGTTGAATTTAGTATCCCAGAGCTGGACTTGAATACAAAAAGAAAGGGTTTTAATTTGGAGAATAGTGACTGAGGGATTCAAGAAGCAAAGAAGCCCACCACTTCTACCTTCCGGATCAACTGCAACCCAAGAACTATGTACACCAAGAGATCTGCAAACAGTATTTACAAAAGCTGACTTTTTTTTTGTTTCCGAGAGAAAAACCAGAATTGGGTGATGGAGCTTCCAAAGCTCCTTAAGTTGGGAAATTGTAGAGGGCCCACCCAGCCCTCTATAATTCCACATCAAAATCTTCATTGATCCGGATGGGGCCATTTAGGGCTGGCTTCCTCCACCGCATGAGAAGTCTCCTTGAGTTTTTTGGATTGATGGGTTTCTTCTGGTGCCTTGTCTGAGAAAGGGAGGTTGATGGCATCAGAAGATGAGAGTTGTCTTTTCCCCCATATGGTTGTGGTTTCATTTGGTTTAGCAGTTTGCTTGGATGAAGTTGGAGATATCCTCTTCCAAGTTTTAGGAGATTTGGTTAATGGGTTTGTTGAGGTTTTAGGGGTTGGCATGAAATCAGGATTAGGAGGAGGTGAAATAACAGGAGTAGCAGGGGTGGTGGGAGATGAAGAGGAGTTTATTTCCAGATGCATAGGTGAGCTGTCTGGCTGGGTTAAGCTTGAGGGTTGAGAAATGTTATGTTGGTTAGATTTCTGATGATTAGATGGGTGAGGGGTAGAGGTAAGAAGAGGGAGGGAAAGAGGTTGGATACTGTTATCAACAAGCTTAGTAGTGGTGTTAGGGTTGTTATCTGATATGGGCTTGGAAGGAGATTGAAATTTGGGGGTTTGATGGGAAGATGAAGGTTGATGAGAAGGAGGTTGAGGGGTTGCAGAAGGCTCATTGGTGGCAGGTTGAGGAGATTTGTTAGTAATTACAAGGGGGGATGATTTTGTGGCTTCAATAGAAGGAGAAGGACTGGGAGAGGGGCCATTGTTAGCAGTTTCTGATAGAACCTGCCAGTAGGAATGGGCTGAGGGGGGTGGATTATCATGTGCTCTGAGCCAGTCACCGAAAAGGCCTTCAGTATGAACTCCTGCCGCAATGTCTTTGGTTCTCTGATCACAAGCTTTATCTGTGTGGCCAATGATGCCACAGTAGTAGCAGACAGTAGGGAGTCTTTCATATTTGAAGTCGACAAGAATTCTTTTGTTTCCCAGTTGGATATTGGCACATCTCAATAGGGGTTGCTTAATGTCAATGGTAACTAGGAGTCTGATACATTTACCAGCCAAGGGACCCCCTTGAGGGATTATAACATTTTTGACCTGAGAGAAAGCTTTCCCTATTTTTAAGCCAACATCCGTTGATATCCAATTGACTGGTATGTTCCAGACTTGAATCCAAGAATCGAGTTCTGTGAAGATTTCGTGCCCGGCTGAAATGTCTTCTACCCATTCTTTGAGAATTAAGGGGTGATTTTCGAAGTTCCAGCTAACTCCTTTTGACACCTTGGATTTATCATCAATGTCACTGAAAAGGAATTGAAAGTAGTTCGGGCTTAGCTCTTTCACTGTTACCGCACCTTTAATTTGCCAGATGACGCCGATCGTCCGTTTTATCGCAGCCAGGTGGGCCTTTTTATTCCCGATTAGTTTACCGAACAAACTTTTGCTGCATTCTTCTGCACTGAAGTGAATATCCTTTGGATCGATGTCTATGCGATTAGCTTCTCTAGCTGACAGCTGAAAATTTCCAAACTGGTGGATGATGTCTTCTTCTATGAATCAAAACCCTAGGAAAAAGGACTAGCAAAGAGATCAAAGCTCCACTTCAACAGCAATCCCCAGGTGGAAAGCGACCTGCTATAAGAAAAAGGAACAAGCAGCAAAAGGATAGAACAAATAGAACCGAAACCCTAAAAGGGGTACCCCGAGAACGGGAATATAATGCGGGAAATAATAGATATAGATAAAGCGAACTGACCCAAGACTCAGAGGGGATAATAGATTAGCTTACATATGAAGGGATACTGCTCTTTAATGGAGGAATAAAGGCTCATTAATGGAGGAATAAGGGCTCCCATGGAAGAGAGGAATAAGTTGAACTTTCACTACGAAAATGGAGCACTACACTAAAGCATTATCAATCTTCTGTTATGTATCGTTTTGTTTGGGTATATTAAAGGTAATATGTTTTTATTATTTTTTGGATGGAGTCGCCTACGATGATTTTCATTCATTATATGATGAATAAACTATGTATATAAACTATACATATACACAACAACAAAAAAATCCAGCTTATTCTTATTTTCAATCTGATTTTGAATATTTTGAAAACATAAAATGTCTATAAACTAAAAATGTATTGTCTATATACTCAACATATACGTGTCGTCTGAGCAAAATGTAAATAATCCCGACGTAGAATGTCTATAAACTGAAAACATACTGTCTATATACTCAACATATATTGATTGGGGGTGGTTTTTTTTTAAACCCTCAAAATCCAAGTACTATTCAACATCTATTCAACATCCAACATCCTTTCAAGATGCAAAAGCATAAATCGTCCACAAAAATAAACTAGTTTTAAAATATAGGCGCACCAATACTGATTTGTGCATAGTTCTTGAAGAACCAAACGCCAATAAGGTTTACCAGCAAATTCGTGACAGCTGAGACGATCAAGCAATGCCTGAAAATAAAAAAATAATTAAATAAATCAGAGAAGATAAATAAAAAAAATTTATTAAACAAAAATCTAGAAGCAAATTCAGAGGGAGATAAATGCAGCAACACTTCCACTCAGAAACTTAGTGTAAGTAACAATATAGGTAAAATTATTAGGTATTTGTTGTGACAACGGACAACAATCCACTACCTATACAAACGAATTGCACAAATCCAGAATAAAACAAGGCCTCCAAAACCCAGCAACAGAATGCAAACTTACTGCTCAGACTCATCTTGTGTAAACACGTGAAGTGCTTCGTCTGCTAAAGAGAAGAATGAACATATACTGATCGTTGGCGGAAGGAGGCGTCCTCATCGGCAGCCAGGGTGGCGAACGAGTCGTCGCCGGAGAAATTGAAGGCGGAGTCGGACGGGTGGTTGCCTCCGCCATGCTTGGATTCGGATCGGGCCTGGAGTTACTGCTCCCGCACGACGATCTTCTCAGGCCGGTGAAGGATGACGAGGAAGGAGGTGAGATGGGTGATGATCGCACAGAGAATCTTTTTTCCTTTTTTTTTTTTTAAAAAAAAATCCAATCGATGGGATTTCTGCTATGACATACTTATATTGAAGAGAAAAATCAGATGTAACGGGGCGTGCGAAAAGGGTTTTCTGCTTGATATTGGGTGAAAAAAAATCTTATGGCGATGGACGTGATTGAAAACAATATGGAAATTAAAATTTTAGGTATAATTGAAAATATTTGTAGCTTTTTTAGTAATTTTAAAAATAAATATATAAAAGATAGAAAAGTGCAAGCCCAATAATAAGGCAATAGCATTTGTCCCTTTAAGGCTTTCAGTCAAGTCCCAATAGAGGAATAGCAGCCCAATAATTTGGCCAAGCCTTTATTTGTGTATATCCACATCAGAAAAAGAAAGAACGCAATTCAAGTATATAACTGATTCCACAACCACCACTTTACAAAATTCTACGGTTTTAGCTATTTTTAATTGGTTCAAGCTGTTTTTTATTCGGCTTTGGGCCCCAACGGTTCCACATTTCCAACCCTTTTTAATCGGTTCGAGCTGTTTTTTTTTTTTTTTTAGTACAATAAAGGAGGCCGAAGCCTAATGATCACTAAATAAGTACTCGACGTGGGCGAGCCACACCTGCGATATCATAGCTCAACCAATGACCCAGATCGGTTCGAGCTATTTTATATGGCTTTGGGCCCCAACTGTTCCACACCTCCAACCCGACTGATGTATTGGGTCGGATTTTTAGAACCGAGTTAAATAGATACAAATTTTTTAATTGATTGCAATTTAAAGTATTTGGACAGATCAACATGGCTTTTCTACTTTTAGTCATAAGTCTGTTCATGACCAAATAAAAGAATATTTATAAAAGGAAATTAATCAGTGTGCTTCACCTCATTAACGTATAATTTTGTCATCTTGTCTTTAAAGAAAAGGCTTGATTTTTTTTTTTTTTTGAGACAACCTCAGAATAAATTCATCCATCCTGTTTAGGAATCTCGATCAAAATTTCTAGTAGCTCGACTCGTTAATTTATCTGGCCCGGTCGATGCGTGAAAATTACAGCAAATATTGTGGTACAAAGGAGCAGCTTAAGAGAGGCCTCAAGCGAAGAAGCACACCCGGAGGAGCTGTGATCGCCGGCGGCTGAGCTTGGGGCCACAGTCGTCGAGCTCGGGAGCGTGATTGTTGCTGGTCAAAAAACATTATACAAACCCATGTTAGAAATGATTCTGTTGGTTAAAATATCTTAATCAATGTCCACTTTAAATAGTCAAACACAACGACAAAAATGGCTACTAATAATTTCATTGGATAGTCTGCATTGATTCTATCTTGTTTTTATTTCGATCTAAAAAAAATTCTCCATTAATCGATACATTTTTTTTTTCCCGAAACGACAGATAATATAATTATAAATCAAAATACACAAATGCGCAAATAAATAACCCCTAACTGAATGGAACAACTAACAATTGAAAAAAATAGGAGAACATGTCCGAAAACGGCCTAAAATCCCGGCGCTAGCAAAGCTAGACAAACAATACTCGCAACTACACTAAACCGACTACACAAACAACAACGGAAACCGACTACACTAAACCGCCTAGAATTGGTACATGATTCGGCAATAAAAAAAATCTCTATAAGAAAAATAAAAAGAAATGTATCGGTATTAAATTATACCTGGAGCGGGTGCTGGAGCCTCTGTTCATTTGGAAAACAAGAAAAAAAAAAAAAAGA